CCCAGAGATAAATGGGAACCAGAAAAAGAAGAAACAAGGAAAACAAACAGAAGAAGAAGAATCTTTGAGACCTGCGAATGAAGAAGACTGTAATCAGATTTACACAGCCCCAGCACTTCGTGGTGTCAGTTTTACCCTGAAGAAGGTAAGTTCGTTATCTTTGTTTTCAGAGCTGTCAAAGTGTGGATGTCTGTTTCATGTTCTGAGAATAAAAAATGCTTGAAAAATGTTATTACGTTTTGTTTGTTTCATTTCCGTTGTTGTTTTTAAAAAAAATTTTGTCAGTCCTTTGTTACTTTAAACATTGCAACAGCGATCTAAAAGTGTCTTTTATTTTAAAATGAGTTCAGTGCTGTTTTCCAAAGTATAAAGTCAGACTCCAAATTTTCAAGGTCCCACCTCTTATATGAGCTTTCTGTGTTGAAAATTGTATTCAACACAAACTTTTCCATACCATTTCAAGTGATAAGCAATAAAGATATGCTCTTTAGAATTAATTTCATGTATGCTACCTTTACTACTATACTATATTATGTTTACAGGGATATAGAATCATGTTTTAAGAAGTTATATTTTCATCATGGCTTTGTAGAGCAAATATGTTCCAAACTGATCCGATAACTGTAACCTGTTTTCTTTCAGGGTGAAGTTCTTGGCATCTGTGGCCATGTTGGATGTGGCAAAAGTTCCCTCATTAATGCACTTCTGGGAAGGGTTAGTTGCAGTTTTTTCCTTTTGTGATTTCAGTGTCAGTCTTTGTCTTTCTCTTGCACTCATTGTAGTCACCATTCTCTTTCCTTCCTTTGGCTGAATTGATGTAACAAGCTATAAAGGTCATCATCACTGTACATAACCTCTAGTGGTTTTGTTTTCATTAGGAAATAGTTCCTTTGGCGATGATCATGTTCATTTTTTTTAAAAATTAAATTATTTATTATAGTTTCAAGCAGCCTTTTAGGCAACTACTCTCTTAAGTAGGCCCTACATCTTTTGGAAAGTTTTGATGTCGGTTAATTAGAAGAGTAAATCAAGCTTGACAATTGAAATAGTTAAATAGTAAGATCGGACATATTCTGAAAAACGAGAAATTCTTTTGTCTTACTTTAATCCTGCAGGTTGTTTAGATAAACATTATATACCACATAAAGAAAAAGTAAACAATAATAAAGAATCATTTTCTATAACATGACATTTAAGTGCTTTGGTGTGAAGTCTATAGATGTGTTAGAGGTAGTGAGTGAGTGGGTCTGGAGAAGAAAAGGGGAACAACGTGCAGGGAGTATGGAGTAGGTAAAGGACAAAAGTGTTGATCATAACTTATCTTCTCAATGCGTTTTCTAAATCCAGATGGATGTCTCAGCCGGTGCATTGGCTGTGTCTGGAAGTATTGCCTACGTGTCACAACAGTCCTGGATCACAAATGATTCCGTGAGGAACAATATTTTGCTCTACCAGGAATATGACCGTTGCAGGTAATAACTTTTCTTTTGCTCTAAATTATGTATTATATAGATTATCAACAAACGAGCTTAACTAAATTACTGAAAATTTGTTTGAAACTTGGTTAATGAGAGAATTTTCCCTCCAAATACTGTCTAAATGCTGGAAAATTGTTCCCTTTTTTATGCTACATCATCTGATGCAAATCACATGTGACAGATTTTGTTGGAAAGGACTAACATCTGATATACTTTGTCACATTTTTAAGTATACACATTTTGAAGCTCAATAAAACAAAATCTATGCTACCAATTACTTTCAAATTTACACACTGATTACATGATATACCTGTCGCTGGTGAGCTGCTTTCAGATTTCTGAACGCGTGAGTGGTTTTGTAACTGCATGCGTGTTACATGTTTCGTGTTTTTTGAAAATTAATCATGATACGGCAATGATTTGTTTAAAAAAGAAGCACACATCAAAGCTTTGCCATTTTTGTAACAATTGGCCAGTAATAAAACTAAACTTGTCTACATTTCATGATGTCACGCCGTACGAGAAAATGTGCGAAATCAGCTCGTGGAATGATCCGCGGGGGGGGTGGGCGGGCTCCGTATCTACTGTTGCGAGACGTTTTAATTTAACACGAAGACCAGTGTACACAACAATGGATCGTGAGAAAACGCCAAAATCAGGAAAGGATCGACACCGCCAACGTGGGAGAAGAAAAACTACTCCTAGAGAGGATCTTTTTATACGCCTGTCGCATCTATTGAATCGTTTCAAAACGGCAAGAAGAACCAGAGATGAGTTGAACAGCATACGACAACCCCAGCCTCAGACACTTCCTCAACTTGAGAGAGCATCGCATGAAGAGTGGAATAACATCCCCCAAGAGACAGTGCAGCGATTGATTGATTCAAGGCGGCGACAATGTCAGGCCGTCATCAACGCTACTGATCATGTTACTTTTGTAGAACACCCCCACACTCTTGTAAGTCTTGAATAAACCTGTTATGTCAACATTCCGTATCGTTATTGCTTTTTTCGTTTTTAAAATTGATTGAACTCGTATTCCTGAAATTTTAAAGAATATCGACTCATTGTGAAACTAGCTGTTTTCATTTTAACACAGTGTATACTTAAAAATGTGACAGAGTATATAT